AATTCCTTTCCAAGTGTGCAATTGTACTTTTCTACCATCCCATCAGACTGTGGGTGAAGTGCCAATGTCCTGTTCTTTCGTATGCAAAACAACTTGCAGCATTCACGGAACACAGCTGATTCAAAGTTACGGCCTTGATCTGAATGCAGTTCGTATGGCATACCAAACCTGAAGAATAAATCACTAATAGCCGAAGCTACAGTTGTAGCTACCTGATTTGGTATTGCATATGCCTCAGGCTACTTAGTGAAATAATCCATCACCACACAAATGTACCTGTTTCCAGCATGAGTTTGGGGCAAAGGACCAGCAATGTCAATCGCTACTCTTTCCACTGGTGCACCAACTTGATATAACTTCATTGGACACGTCCCTTATGTTTGGGCCCCCTTTTAGCACAACATGTACTGCACCATTCTTCCACATCTTGTCTCATACCTATCCAGTAAAATCTCTGCCGTAGGTGTCTCCATGTCTTCTTAACTCCGAGATGTCCTCCTGTTAAACTGTCATGAGATTGATGCAGCACAACTTCCCATAACTTTCTCAGTATAACTGTTTGCCAGGTCGTCACTTTCCCATCTCCTGACAAGAATACCATCTTCGAGCTTGAACTGGTCCCATTGTGCCCAATAGTTCTTTGTCACAGGGCTTAAGCTAGACACCTTCTCCCAAGCAGGGTGCAAAACACTTGCTTGTAGAAAATCAATTATTGACTTCAAATCTTGGTCTTTCTCCTGTTCTGCTTTAATATTTATACTTGGTTCCACTTCACCATCATCAACTTCTTCAGTCACTATGACTTCAGCTTGATGGCATCTGGTTAGTCTATCATTTCTTTTAACACTTACCGGAATTTGGCCTTTGTTGTTCCCCAACGTCATTTTATCGAAGTTAACTACATACTTCCTCGGTAGTAAGTAGTCCAACCCTAATACACAGAGGTCTTCAATGTCAGCCAAGTATACTTTGTGTCTGTCCTTTATGCCCATGAGCTCAACAGTTACCCACACTGGTCCCCCCTACCTTGTATAATGTCCTGTCACACCGCAGAGCTTCTGTATGGCTTCTGGCACTCCTTTGTGATCTAGAACCTTGATACTCACAAGGGTTTGCTGAGATGCTGAATCTATGACAAAGTTGCACCTTTGGCCATCCAGCTTTCCTGTCACGTAGACACTATGTGTGCTTGCCATTCTACACTTTGCTGTTGGGACTTTCACAATAGGATTTGGTGGGCATCCCTCAACACTAACCACCACTGGTTTCCCAGAGGCTGACTTATTGGTAGTATTCTTCTTACACTAACACTTTATATGTCCCTGCAACATTTCTGGGTAGCAGGCTTTCCTGCCGTGGCATCTTCCCTGTGTTGAAGTTGCCGGCATTGAGCTCTCTTGTGCCCAGGTTTGTTACAGTGCCAGCAAAGTCCCTTAAACCACTCTGAAAGCTGCCTTTTCTGGCCTTGAATTCTGATCACTGTACCAACCTTGATACCTCTGCACTGGACTTAACGTAGGAATCGAATTCAAAAGCTCTGGGCATTGCATCCTGCATAGTAGAGGGGTGTGCTTGCTTTACTTGTATCTTCAGTTGTGGACTGTCCAAGGCCTCTATAAACTGATCCCTCAGCAACAGCTTGAGGACATCGGGTGATTCAGTTGGGTAGGCCTTGTGTGCCATACTTTCCAAATCCTGTGCCAGCTCTTGCAGGCTCTCCCCTTTAGCATGGACTCTCATCCTAAACCAAGCCCTGTAGACTTCTGACTGATTTTGAGTTCCATATCTGATTTCTAGAGCAGCTACCAGTGCTCTATAGCTGTGCCTGTCGTCTGCTGACAACTGTCCAAGTATTTCCAGTGGTTGTCCCTTCAAGCTCATTGCCAGGTACACTGCTTTCTG